TATATATTGAGCAAATAATCCTTGAAACTGCATTAAATGAAGAATGTGACATCAGGATTAAAAGAAAACTCATTAACAACCTTCCATATGCAAATGATACAACCTTGCTTGCTGGAAATGAAGAGGACTTAAAATACTTGCTGAAGATCAAAGACTATAGTCCTAAGTATGAATTGCACCTAAATATAAAGAAAACAAAAATCTTCGTAAATGGACCAATAAATAATATCTTGATAAAAAGAGGACACTGAAGTTGTCATAGACTTCGTTTTCCTTGGATCCACAATCGATATTCAGGGATACAACTACCAAAAAATCAAAAGATGTATTGCATTAGGCAAATCTGTTGCAAAAGATCTGTTTAAAGTGTTCAAAAGCAAAAATGTCGGTTTGAGAATTAAAGTACACATGACCCAAGTCATGGTATTTTCAACGATTTCATATACATGTCAAAGTTAGATAATGAAGAAAGAAGATCAAAAGGGAAGAACATGCTCAGCATTTCTCAAGTTGAAAGAACTGAAGAGGAAATTCAAGTCTCTGATTGCAAAAAACAATCAATGCATTTAAATTATGGTGTTGGAGAAGAATACCGAAAGTACCATGGATTGCCAAAAGAACAGGTCTGTCTTGGAAGTAGCCAGAATCCTCCTTAATGCTTCATCTCTCATTCTTTGGATATGTTGTCAGGAGGGATAAATCCCTGGAGAAGGACATCATGCTTGGTAAAGTAGAGGATCAGCGAAAAAGAGAAAGACCCCCAATGAGATGGATTGACACAGTGACAGCAACAGTGGATTCAAACATAACAGTTGTGAGGCTAATACAGGACCAGGCAGTGTTTCATTCTGTTGTGTCCCTATGAATCAAAACCAACTCAGCAGCACCTAAAACAACAACAGAATTTATATGTGAGAACCTCTTCCCTTGATGACTCTTTATAAAGTGAAGCGAATTGTGTTTCTGAATCCTATTGAGAAGATGCAACTGGACAGTTAATGACTGAAATGTGGTGAGGAAGCTGTCATCTCCAAGAGACTACATTCTGCCCTTGGACAGGAGGTAAGCAGTGGTCAGGACAGTGGTGGAAGTAGGAACCTCTGTCATGATCACCTGTCGTCTGGTCACAAACATAGATGGACATGACCTGGGGCAGCAGGGAGCACTGTGGGTCTACTGCTGAGGATCTTTAGGGGGTTCTTAGCTGGAAAACCAGACACTTGGATAACATTGTGAAGAATGGGTATTTTAGAACACTTCATTGTGCTCATAAGGAACCTGTGCATAGACCAAGAGGCAGTCTCCTGATCTCTACTCAGTGCTCTAGACAGCGGTTGGCTCCTTCTGGGCCCCTGGGGAGGAGACCAGGCCTAGCTCTTCCAGATTTGATACCCAACCACTGGGCCCAGGGATGTATTGGTTGGCCAGAGGAAGAGGAACACATTTGCAGGAAGGGTACCTCCCTCCTCTGGGATTTGATAGAGATAAGAGATTGGTGGTATTTTTCTACTTGATCAAGGTGTTTGTACCATGGCCTCATCCCCTTCGTTTGTTGCACAGGTCAGGATGGTCCTCAGTACCCTGAATCACCAGGTCCCTGAAATTACTTCCCATACTCATTCCAGACATGTCCTTCTCTCTTGCCTCTCCTCCGAGACATAATGAGTGACTGTGCTTTCAGGGTCCCTCCTGACTCACCTGCCTCCCCAGGAACCTCAGCCAAGCTTACCAGCAACATGAGCAGTG